CGCGGGCCCCCGGCTCAGCCCTGGTGCCGCCCTCCACGGGGCTGCCCACACGCAGTACAATGGGCCCATCTGTCTGTCTGGGCCCACGCACAGGGCACACGCTGCCTGACACTGCCTGGCCCGCAGGGAGGGGGCCCGGCCTCCCCGGGGGCAGGATGCCTGGAACCAGCCGTGGCGAGGAAGGGCTGCCACAGTGGCACCGAGACCCCCAGGCCAGTGAGGAGCAAGGAGACAGGGGCACATGGCATGAATGCCCAGTGGTGGTTCCGTGCAGCCACCGAGGGTCGGTTCCCTACAGCCCTGCCCCACCACACCACCAGCACAGGGATGAGCCGTCCCACCCACGCCAGCCCCCCCAGCAGCAGGGGGGGGGAGGGGGAGGCCAGCAGAAGATCCGGTTCCCCTCCCACACCCCCAGCCCCCAGGACATGCTGGTTGGGAGGGTCCCAGAACCCCACTGAGGAGGGGGTCCCCCCGCCCCCAAGCCCCCCTCCCCACCCTCACCCAGCACTAGGGGGTGGTAGGCAACTCTCAGAGCCAAATGCATGAGTGGGATCTGTCCTAAATCGAAGTCCAGCCCTCTGTATGTGGGCAGCATAGCCATGACCCCCGCCCCCCCCACCCCCCAAACATCTAACGGGTATCGAAGTCCAGCCCTCTGTATGTGGGCAGCACAGCCCTGACCCCCACCCCCCTCACCCCCCAAACATCTAACGGGTACTCCTCAGCCCACCCAATGCCACCTGCCAGGACATGGGCACCCAGAGCTGCTTCCCCTCTTCCAGAGCAGGTCTGCAGCCCCAGCCCTGCCACTGGCCCAAGTGCTTTGAGGGGGCCATGGACAGCCCCCCCATGCTGAAGGGGGGCAGAAGGCAGCCAGATCTGCAGTGAAAGGCCAGCCAGGGCAGGCACAGCCCCACTGTCCTGCTGGGGGACATGAGGACTGACCCCATGCTGGGAACCCAGGAGGCAATTTCCCATGGAGCTCGTTAAAAATAAACACCGTGACCCACAGCAGCTGCTGTCAGCATCAAGCCCCAGCACAGCAGGAGCAGCTGTGGCTGCACCACAGGACAAGAGCATCAGCCCTGTCCTCTCCCCTCCAGTCCCATGGGCTGCAGCCAGGCCACCCCTCCAGGCTCTTCAGGTTCCACTGCAGTGGGGAATCCAGGGTCGGTCCAGGCTGAGCAGCACCGAGGGCCCCAAACCACCACCCATCCACAGAGCGCCCTCTGTGCAGACTCCCTGGCAAAGCTTTTCATCCCCCCTGCTCAGGGTTTGGGGATCAAGGGGTCCCAGTTTCCATCCCTGTGAAGCCAGCAGGCACAGAGCCACCACGTGCCACCCCAGTGGTAGCCAAAATTGTGGTCTTCCAGCCCCTGCAAGCCTTGAGGCCCAGCCAGGATCAGCATCCTTCCCCGGTTGGGAAGATGCTGGCAGGACACTCAGCAGCCAGGGCTGCCAATCCCCAGGGCAGTTCCGCCCCACCAGCCCGGTGCTGAGAATGCACGCGACTTCGGAGGGAGCTGCTCGAAGCTGGGGTGCTCCCTCCCGCCCTGGCAGCCCCCACGGCGCCGGC